ATTTAAGGACATGCTTAAGCTAAGCACGTGCTTAAATGCTTTTTAAATAAGAATTAAGGCCTTTTAGTCCTTCTGCTTTGAAGTCCAACTTCTGATGCTTGTTGGTGGCATCTACTTCATACAAGACTTCAGGCCTGCCTTTACTTCCAGGCTCACTTAAGATGGAATTTGCAAATGACACATTAGGGAGAGACAAGATGCAGAGTTTTGTTTTACAGAGGGAGCACGAGCTGCCTTTAGATCTCATACCTTGTCAGGGAGCAGTGACAGAGGGGCAGTGAGGCAGCAATTAAGGGGCCGAGAGCGACCACACAGGGACAGGGGCAGTGACCTGAACAACAAGGGCACAGTCCTACAGCACCCAGGGAACAGGGCTGGAATGGTGACAGGTGCTGTGAGAGCCCAGGGATCATTAGGGAAATGAGGGGTGACAGGCTGGGTCCAAGGTCAGTCTGGGGAGCCCAGTCAACAAGTCAGGAACAGCGAAGGACAGAGCTGGGAACAGAGGCACTGCCCAGCCTGGGGGAAGACTGGGGCTGCAGGACTACTGGTGCACTCAGGGCCTGGCATTTCTTCATGGATTAACATTAGGTTTCACCATTTTTATATTTAAAGAAGCCACTGACAGAAAAACAAATCTCATGCTAGGTACAAGAGCAAGCCTCAGGCTCTTGTGCAAACATTTTAGTTGCAGGAATTTACTGCTTTCAGGGAGCCATTTCTATTGACATAGGAGATACATATGTTTACAGTGGATCTTAGAAAGATCCTAAATTATTTAGAGAAAGGATGAGGAGAAATGGTTAATAAACAGAAAAGAGCAATGGCTTAGTGTTCAATCAATACTACAAAATTCTTATTTGCAGATGCTTTTCAATGAAGCTGAAGAAACTGAGAGAGAATGAAGGAACTGTGCCTAGGCCAGTTCAGCTCAAGATCAGAGAACCAGATCTTTTGGATTTGTATTGGATCATAATCTGAACACGAATTATCAATATTGTGCTGGTGCAGAGAAATATCAGTTGTACCAGGATATTCAGTTTTCTAGCAACTATGTTCCTTTTACCTAATGAGTGGAAAATCACAGCACGACAAGAAATCAGCAGGTCACCTCACCATTGCCATGACTCAAAGTAGGAACAAATAGATCAACAAAGTGCTCCAGGTTACACCTGCCTCTGGAATCATAATTGTGATGTTAATCAGCTTCCTCATACAGTCAACAACAGAACCTCAGAAAAACTTACGCTGGCATAAGACAGTGTGAGAGAAAATGAGAAGCCAGGGGAAGAGGAACAGCAGGGATGATTTATACCAGGTGGCTTATACCAGTATAATGTGCTGAACTATGATGCAATTTGATCTTACTGCATGTCTTCTGTATTGTTGATTTAAAAGCATGTTTCTGAATGGTCAAAAATGTTTCAAAATGGAATTCTGTGTTCCACACCCCCAGCTTTGCATCACCTGCAAAATTAATAAGTGTGTTCTCTGTTCCATTATTTATATTGTTAACAACAAAAAGACCCAGACTGAAGACAGGCTCTAGAAAACCAGCAATATATTCTTTCCTTTTGACAGAAAACTAATGCATGTTATGAAATACTGCTTGCTATGCAGTCAATTTTGTACATACCTTATAATATGTTTATCCAGGTCATATTTCTCTAACTTTTTAATGAAAATGTCATGTAAGTGTCATAAACATAATCAAACTGACAACAGGCTCTTTCCTATCCACAAGGCCTGTTCCCTACTGGAGGAGAACATCAAGTTATCTTGTGTGATTTATTTTTAACAGATCCATGTTGGCTGCTATTGTTCCTTGGTTATCATTTAGGTGCTAATAATAGTCTGGGAGGTTACTTGTCCCAGGATTTTTCCATGGATTCAGTTAATTACACTTAAATCAAGCTGTATTTCTCTGGCTCCAACCCCACTTTGATAACAGCAATTTACAGTTACCTCTTCTGGTTTTTTCAGCTTCTCATTCACCTTCTTAATTCAGTCATTCTTCAGCTGTCTTTTGATTATGATCGCTAGACTCAAACTATTTGAAAATATTCAGTTCATCTGAGTGTTCCTTATCTGTTCTTTACCTACTCTGGGCTGAGGCAATTTTGTTCTCAGTGTCACCAATCCTAACTATCTGCTTGTACATGATCTTTTTTGTAAGTCTGATACAACAGGTGCAACAATCCCTTTAGCTTTCTTTATAATTTGTTAACAGATTTTCTTCTCTATTGAGGAAAGGAATAATAATTTCTCTATCTCTTTCTTAGTATGAATATACTTAAGGATAGCTCTTGATAGTTCAATGGTTTTGCAGCACTACCTTTTTTAGTCTTTCTTTTTCTTAATAATTTGACCTGTCTTCCTTTGTGTTTTCTTTGTGTGCTTAAAGGTCAAGGGAGACCTCATGATGTGGTCAAGCTAAGCTTACTGTTATTTCTATCTTACTCACAACTGGGATAAATGTGCCCTTCAAATTATTTTCTAAAGCATCATTCCTTTTCTTAACTCATTTCTTTAGACTTCCTTCCTATGAGGTCTTAAGTACTGATTGCTTAAGTCCTTATCTTTCATGACATCTGTTTTTATTTAGCTGTTCTTTTTCCTTCCTCTTCTATGGACAACAAGCTGTCATTTTGCAAATGCTCTTTTTTGTGAGGAAAATGCTGCCCCACTTTAACATTCTCATCCAGTTTTTCTCCACTGGCAGTCTCCAAAAAAACCCCACAACAACCCCAAACCACCCAACCAAGCCGCTATATTCTTGTGGCTAGGCCCTATTCTAAAGAAGTCACATCAGAGATACCAACACCTGACAGCATATTACTGTTCTAATAAAAGGGGTTTTTCACTTCACCAAAGGAAAGCTCAGGAAAGAAGTGTGAGAAACAGACCACAGACACTGCCAAAGGTGAGAGACTGAGTGAAATGCAGAAGTAAGATATAAAACTGCCTGGGATTGCTTCTAGCAGCAGAATGTCTTCTTGTATGTGAGCAAGGGAGTAGAAGGGGACAGATCTGTTCCAGGTTGCACATGGCAGCAAATTATCAAATTGGGAGACCCCTGAGAGAAAATACTCTGTGCTTATCTCTGTGAGCAGTAATCCTGTGTTTTAGAAATAGAGGAAGAAAAGAACTGCCAAATATTGGTGATAGTGCTGAGTTGCTTGTTTTGAGTATTCAGGCCTCACAGGCAGGTTGGGGCAGGAGGTGTGTGTATATGGCACGTGTGTGTGTTAATGGGGGAGATATTTGCAGGAGGTTTGTGCTGCAGGTTTAGGTGTTTTGATGAGTCAGCAGTGACTGAGAAAACAGCATTTTGTAGAATTCTTATCAAGCTCTAATTGTGGATAGGAGCCCCTGAAGACCTTGAAAAAGCCTGATGGGACACCTTATTTCCCAAAAAGAGACTAATTTCTTCCACAGCAGAATGGCATTCACATACTGCCTCCAGCTTTACAGACCAGGGGCTGCTGCCCCTCTTTCTACATGGAAATCCCTTTGAGTCAGACAGTATTGATACCTGATCATGTTTTTTTCAGACTTATTTGTGGAATTAAGCAGGCTCAACAGTTTGACCTGAAACAGAGCTGTCCTAGCTCTGTCCTGTGGAGAAGGGCAGGCCTGTTGTAATGGTCAGGATGGAAAGATGTGCTGCACGCAGGTTATGTGGAATAAAATCTGAAGGACAAGACAGCTCTCAGGGGATGTCCATGGCTCCAATTGCCTCAACAACACCCCCTGAACCCACTACTCCAGCTAGATCTCCACAGACCTTTGCCTTTCAGATACATGTTTACAGTACAACTGCTTCACAAACCCACAAACTAGGAACCAAATCTGGCTTCTGCTGCACAGGGCTCGGTCTGGCACACGTGGCAGTAAATCGTGTAGGCACAAAGACCAG